ATATATATATATATATATATATATATATATATATATGATATGTATATATATATATATGTATATACATACATATATGTATATATATATAAATATACATATACATATATGTATGTATATACATACATATACGTATGTATATACATACATATACGTATGTATATACATACATATACGTATGTATATACATACATATATGTATGTATATACATACATATATATTATAATAGGATTTCAATATATATATATGAGTGTTAGATTACTGAACCAATTATGAGTCATGTGTATCCTTTCTAAGCCAGAGACCGAGAGAGAGAGAGAGAAGGAGAAGATTACCATACATCCATGTAGACTTTGTCGGTACCTAGCAAAACCACGCTAGCAAACGAAGAATCGTGACTCTTGGTGAAAAACTTGGAGATGGGTGCCATGCTGTACTTCCGCGAGAGGCGGCCATCGAAGCCGGACTCCACGGTGCAGCCGACGATGCTGTTGGCGGCGAGCAAGCGGAGAATGCGATCCACCCAGATGGGTGCCCGCGGGTTCTGGGTCGGAAGCCGGGCGGCAATCTCCTCGGGGCTCATTGCGTTTCCCGGTCCAGCCGTGACGATGACCTCAAAGAGGTCGAGCTCGAGAGCCACCTTGAGGACCATGGCCAAGACGGTGCCAGCTGTGAGTTGCAGAGCGCGTACGTAAGCCGCATCCTCCTCCTCTTGCTCTTCCTTGGGTGTCAGCTGCGGCACGTACTTGTTGGCCTGCATTCTGCTGGTTGCGACGATATCTAGTGGGGAAGGAGAGGGAGGGCTGACTTCTTACTGTGCAAATCAAATAATCTTTTGATTGATTCAGGAATTATGTCATAAAGGATCATGATATATTTCTTTAATTGATTCGATTATGAAAGGATCAAATCCTTCGATTGATTTGATGATGAAAGAAAACATTTATTGGATTGATTTATTACATACTTAAATGTAGAAATGTGATAGAATTCTTTTTTATATATAAATTCCTTAAAATAACCTCCTTAATTTTACTTTTTTGCGTTAGAACATATTGTTCTCATATTTTCTCCGCAAGTGTCCTAATTTCAAAAATGACAAACGAACTCTCAACCCCTCCTTTTATCTTTTCCAGCTCTCTCTTCATTTTCAAACCAATTATATTGAAGTAATTGCACTCAACATTTAAATCGGACAAAAATAAATAATAAACAATAAATTAAACAATATATACATTAATAAAATAAAAAATCTTAAATTTTAAATATATATATTTTAAAAAAATAATGATAAAATAATGACATAATTACAACCTCATGATTTCAACTTAAATTGATCGAAAATAAAAAAAAATAAGCGCTGAGTTAATCGAAAATACATCTTTTAATTGCTAAAAAGTTAGAACAATTGTTCAACTAAGGCCTCCTTAGATACTTTCAATGCTTCATAAAAATTTTGATATTTTTGGATGATAATAGACCTAAGTTACACTATTTTTGTATGGGATCCAAAAATAATGTAACACATTAAAAAATAGTGTAACTCATATCCTAGCTTTTTTTTTTAAAAAATAAATTTTCAGAAAAATCTTACAAAGAACTTAAAATTACATAAACGACCTTTTTTTTTCATTTGTATGCTATTAAAATAAATATTTTATTTATTTCAACCCTTTAAAACTGTGAGATTCTGATTTTTTTTAATTTACCCAAGTTAAGGTGAATTTACAATGCTCTATGGACAAAAATCACTTGAATATTATTATATAAGGTTTTTTTAGGTTTTAAGGATGCAAAATTTTTTTGATGACATGAGTTGTACTGTTTTTGAATAAAGCTACACTGTTTTTGGATCCTATTCAAACAATATAACTTCCATCCCATCCTTTTCAAAAAAAACCTTACAAATAACTTGCAAAGGACTCAATAATCAATTTTCTATTTTGAAGGCCTTAATATATATATATATATATATATATATATATATATATATATATATATATATATATATATATATATATATATATATCCTATGAAATAAATAACAAAGTAATTTTCTATCAAGACATGCATATACATGACATACAACTTAGTATAACTCATAAATGAGTCTTAGTTCTTGCACTACGATAATAGGAGAATCAAATATATATCTAATGAGCATATTAATGTTCTTTTTGCCTTGACATAGATTCATATAATAATTTTAATCTTACAATAGATTCATGAGAAAAAAAACATAAATTCATGTAGTTTTACTATACCGAAAGAACATCAATGAAAAAGATATTAACAATTAAATTCATAAGGAAGAAAAATATAAATTCATGTAGCTTTACCATGCCAAAAGGATATCAATCAAATATGAAAAAGATATTAACAATTAAATTCATGAGGAAGAAAAACATAAATTCATGTAGCTTTACCATGCCAAAAGAATATCAATCAAATATGAAAAAGAAATTAACAAGCAAAAGAGGAGGATGAGGATGTAGGAAAGTTAAAGTTCCCTACCTTTCTTTTGTAAGTGATCCTCTGGTGTCTCCCCTCCTTTCTCAATGATTACTTATCCCATGAAAAGATGATGGTGACTATAAATTAGGAGAGAGGTAATCTTAAGTTTCTTATTATATCAAATTATAATATTATTTTTTTAAATTAAAACTAGGGTATTACATTCCCCCTATTTATAATATTAATATTGATTAAAATTAAAATTTTACATTTCTCGTAGATGTTGGGATGATGATTCATGCACACTAGAGGAGAATGAGAGGACCAAGGAGGAGTTTGAGACTGTAGCAAAGATAGCAGGGTTCAAAGCCACTTATGTATCTGTTGTTAGAAGAGAATAGAAGATAGGAATTACTGAAGAAGTTATATATTTGCATTAGCATATCCTCTCCTATTTATACAGGTTAGGAGGAAGGATTTCGCTCAACAAAGTAGAAAGGTTTTCCTCGTATAGAAAAATCTTATTTGCTATTATGCTTGCTAGGTAAGATCAAAATCTGCCGTCGTGCCACTTATGTGGTAAAGGGATTGTTTCCTTTTGTTACACCGCTACAATAAGATTCCCAAAGCTGTATGTTTAAAGGGATTGTTTCGTTTTGTTATCGATAGGGGTGAGGCATGCTCGGGATTGACTTATTGGTCAACATGATAGATGTTGAGTCGGATCCACTATTAGAATATAATTACCGCAGCCCGATACATCAAACCCTCGTTTATTTAGGATACCAAAAGTGTAGAAAGTAGAAGCACAAGAAGCAGCACCGAGTGTTCATGTTTTCCATTCTACTTGGTGAATTCCATGACCCACGTATCTGCAAACAAATGAAGAGCTTTGAATCCGGTAAACCCACCGTCCCTTGCCAACCCTTGGAACTCCTCCTCCGTTCTCTCTTTTCCTCCGATGTTGTAGGTCGCCATGCACAGATCTAACTGGAAGATGCCTTGGTCTCTCGGAGTCGGCTTTGGAACGGCTGGAAGAACACATTCCACCACAATCACCTTCCCTTTCTCCGGCAGAGCTTTCCAACAGTTCTTCAATAGCTTTACACAATTCTCATCGCTCCAGTCATGAAGAATCAACTGCACTTGCACAACAATCCACGAGTAACTCGTTATTTGCAAAAAGAATTCGAATGAATTACTTGTGACCGCGATCCGAAGAGACCTGACCTTGAGAAAAATGGCATCTCCGCGGGGAACAGCTTCGAACATGTCTCCGCTAACGTGCTGCACACCTGCTACCGCAAACAATATTAGCACGTAAGCCGAGATCTAATAGAGAACAACCCTCCTTCTCAGATAAGACATGGATCAAGAGCGAACCTGGCAGGGGTTGTGCTTCGGAGATGACATGCGAGAGGTCGAAGTTGATGCCCTTGATGCGGGGGTGCTTGGCAGTGATCATGCCGAGGGTGGTGCCGACGCCGCCGCCGACGTCGACCAGCACTTCCACGTCGTCGAAGCCGCCGTAAGTGCGGAGCAGTCGGCTGATCATGATGGTGGAGTGGCTTTGCATGGCCTCGTTGAACACCTTGTTGAAGCGTGGATCGGTGCCTTGGTACTCGAAGGACGACATCCCGTAGGCGGCCATCACTGGTTCGCTGCCGTCCAACACTGAATCCTTCACGTGGTGCCTTGTCACCCAACGCATCAGTGTTAGTTTACTGAACCAAGTGAAGTAGATCCTCCTAAACTATATCTAGCTAGCTAGAGAGAGAGAGAGAGAGAGAGAGAGAGAGAGAGAGAGGAGAGG